ATATACATACACATATATACATATGTATATATATATATGTATATATATATATATATATATAATAGTAATAATAATAAAAATAATATAAGTATATCTCACGCCTACTCCATGAGGTAGATGTACGTATGCGAATTTCCGTATGTCAACCGTACCCCGCTGTATAACCTTTTTATGGATAGCTGACTCTGAAGATTCACTCACCTACCGATTCATTTTAAAACTCAATCTTACAGATCACCCTCAATAAACCCAAGGATAAGAAACTGCATCCAGATTTAGTATGGAAGGATCACACAGACGATGACACTGTGTATCTTACAGACGAGATCGAGGTGGAGGTGGATCCGTCTCGCTGGGGTCGATTCAAAGCAGCCACAAGGAGGAGTGGTTATGTAATAGCAAGTTACGGAGCTAAAATCGGCAGTGTCTTAGGCCTGGTGGGAGGCTCAGAGGACGATATGAGGCATACAGAGGTTTCAATGCTGAAGGTCAGAGATGATCTGGTGCTGAGTTCGGCGCCTGCAGTGAAGACGCAGTCGGTGATTTCACAGTGGTCGGGGCTTGCGCCGGTACAGGGTGGCTCGTACTTCACACCCAGATCTAAGCAGCGCAAACTGGTCGTGGGGGTAGTGGTATCGTTTGCGGGATTTACGGAGGGGAACAGGATCAACACGCGCACCCAACTGCAGCGCACACTGGAGAGTCTGTACGATCAGGAGCAGCAGTGCCACGACCTGGACGTTGAGTTTATCTACCTGGCGGTCATGGATGGCATGCCGCTAGCGGATAACGATATCACGGGCTACATCAGCAGCACGTACAACCAGCAACAGTGGGCCAATAATCTACGCATGCAACACGACCCAAGACACGTGACCATCATGCAGGCTAAGGTATCGGACGCGCATGAGCACGACCATGGACTGGTGGAGGTGGCGCCGGGCAAACGCCTGCGCATGACGACGATCATCAAGGGCGAGCCAGCCGGTAAGGTGAACTCGCACGAGTGGTTCTTCTCGGCCTACAGCTCGGTGTATGAGGTGGACTACGCATTCACCACTGAAATCGGCACAACGTACGCGACGTCGTTTATGTCCAACCTGATCAACTACCTGGAGTCCCACGCCCACGTGAGCGCTGTATCTGGCCGGCAGCGGGTGATGAGCTCCACCATGCAGTCGTTGCACACCGAAGGGTTGACGGAGATGTTCTATCGTGCGGTCCAGTCGTACGACCAGGAAGCACGCATAACTAACCTGCAAGGCGCGCAAACCTTTGTGGGCATGTTGCCGCTCATCTGCGGGGCGGCGGGGCTGTGGCGCATGAGTGACCTGGAAGGAGAACCGCTGGACTACTACCTCGACTACCCCAAACAGATCACGCTGGACCAGGGCCTACGGGTGGGTAACCTGTTGCTAGCGGCCGATAATGTGCTGAGCTATGCCGCGTGCCTGATGACGGGCAAGCAGACTCAGTGGGTGCCTAATGCAGTGTTCTACACCGAGGCTAAGCTGGAGAGCCAATCCTTCATCACACAGCGCAAGAGATGGGCGAACGGTACGATGGCGTGCTACTTGATCATGCTGTTCAATTCCTTCGGAGACATATTCGACGGTCCCCACAAGCTGTCGTTCAAGCTCAATGTCTTCCTACACATGTTGCTGCAGATGGTCGTACAGGCCGTGACCGGCGTGAGTCCGGGTCTCATGGCCGCGCTGGCGTACTTCTCGGCGGTAGAGATGAACTTCGGGGGCGACGAGTACAAGATGTATGTAGCGTACGGCGTCACGGCTGTGAACTGCATTCTGTACGTGTTGTTCTGCGCCGTGCACTTCCACAAGCGCTTCTCCCAGTTCACGTACAACATAGTCATTGCCTGGACCATAGCCGTGACCCTGATGGTGGCGTCCAGCGTCATATTCATGTTCGCCGCGTCTAACTCCGCTGCCCTGGCTATATTCTCCGTGGCCGTGCTGCTCCCGTCTCTGCTGGCGCTCTTACACAGCCTGGATGTGTTCGTCATCATGACCGTCTCGGTTTTCCAGTACGCCATGTTCCTGCCCGTATTCACCGCGTGGTTTTCCGCGTACGCCTACTGCCGCGTGTGGGACGTGTCTGAGTACGACACCCTCACCATCAAGGGACGCGCGCAGAAGGGCGCCGGCCTGGCCATCATGCTGACGGTGATGGCGCTCAACATTGGCGTGGCCGCGGCGCTCATAGGACTGGCCAGCCTGAACCGGCTCATGCACCTATTCCTGGGCGTGGTAGGACTGACCCTGATCCCGCAGTTTATGTCGTTGATCTACTTCCTGTTCTATACCGAGCACTGCCTGACGGGCAGCCTGCGCAGTGTGAGTTTCAGGTGGATGGCCGTGGCGAGTTCAGTGCTGTATGCATTGACGGTAGTGCTGCTGTGTGTGGGCTGCTTCACCACGTCCTGGCTGACGAACAGCGTGCCGGTGTATATCCATGCCAACACAACCGCTGTGCTCAATGAGACACGCCTGCAGTACGAGGGCCCCTACATGCTCATGAACGAGACTGAGGTAAGTGCTCAACCCACGTGCTGCTCATGAGTATACATACCTATCTACAAATGCAAAGACGTTGTCCTACGCTAATTCAACTGAGACAGCTTTGCTGTTCTGTGTTACTGCAGCCTGGGTCGGCGTAATTCAAACCCATGATTGTCAATACCCCTCATGACTACTTACGGTCATCCTATCTTCAGCAACCATACTCACTTTAATCCTGTCTGTTTTACCAGGTTTTTGATTCTATCAAGGGTGACTCACTAGCGTCCCTGGCATCGCACTCAGACCTTCGTGTGGGTGGGTGGGATGGCCGCGTCATCAACGTCAACGGCACGATCCTTGAACCCGAAGCCGAATCCAAGCTACTGGGCGTACACAGTTACCAAACAGATACGATCATCACAACGTCCACCATCTGGAGGCTGGATCCGGTCAAGGCATTTGAGACGAAACTCAATCTCTATCACCTCAAGTTCACAGCCTACTACGTCAACGACTCAACAATAGTCACTGATACGGCCAACACAACGCTCGACGCTCATGGCACCGTGCTCAACACTAGGACACACCGCGTGGCCCACTTTCAGCGCTACCTCAACTTCTCCTACATCGACCACAATGGGGACCTACAGGTGTCCATAACGGACGTATCCGACCGGAACTACACCAACACATACCAGATGAAGACAGAGACCAACGAAACCCTGGTGCTGAACTCACTCCAGTACACCTACGGACGGTATGACGGATACGTGGACCTGTTCTACGGCCTGCTTTTCCTCGAACTGGACTTTCACACCACCACTCCGTACAAGAGTGAGGCCCTGCCCTGGGGGGGCGATCTCATGTCCCACTATCCGGGTGGCTCCTGGGCCTTCTGTGTGCTGCTGGTGTGTGGTGCGCTGGTGTTCCTAGGCATGATCGCCATGGCAACGCTGTTCTCGTTCTGCGCCAATGACCAGTCGCGTGTGCACGGCGTGGTGATCGTGTTCATGTGGGTCATCGTGATAGCGTTGCTGATGTGCGTCTTCCTCTTCCCGGCCTCATGGGGCGGGATGAATACATACCACATAGGCTGGTGGAACCCGGACAATACCAACGGCACGTATCTGTGCGGCGAGAGTACAGGGATATATAACCCAGGCGACTGTTCAGTGGGCTGGTCCTATTGGATGGTTGTACTGGCTTTCGTTGTGGCTATGTTTGGTTACAACTCGGCACGGTACATGCTGTATAAGCCGGCGAAGCAGAACGCTGACCACAGACACCTGCTAACCACCCGGGATGTCGATCCGGAATCGTATAACGCGCCGAGGACTGTCCACGCAGCAGCAGCATTCGAATATAACTTACGAATAGACACAACTTAGTCATTTGATACCAAACATTGTATTGAAAAGATATATTACAAAAATTGTACACACAAAATGATAACATAAATAAATCATCACTGTGGTCACCTCTGTGGACACTAACGGGCTCAGCTATCAGCTATGAAAAGTCACAATCGTGCCACGTCTACAAAAGCAGCGGCAGTGAACTAGTATTGTACCTGATACTAATTTGATATTAATTTTAATTTGTTATCAATTTGATATTAATTTGTTGTGTATATATACGTGTATGCGTGTGTACGTACACACACACACACACGCACACACACACACACACACACACATATATATATATATATATTTATATATATATATGTTTATATATATATATATATATAT